CCCCCCCCCCCCCCCCCCCCCGCCCAGCAGGCAACCTTTCACTCTCTGGTACATCCTAGGTATGTCCAAATCCTACAGGAACCCAGCTTATGACCCAGGCTGAGATGATCTCCACTACTGATTCATTATCTTATTTATCTGAAAACTCTGCCAGGTTGATGTGTCCTTCTACAGAAAGAATATTGAGGCTCAGGGAAGTTTTATCATTTGTATAAGGTCACAGCCCAACAGTAGTGTGTTGTTGGGTAACATGCACATTGTGACTTATAAGCACAGGTCCTGCTGAGGACAAACATGCAGAGACTGTTTCCACGGAGGGACCTAGATTGTGATCTTGAAAATACCCCACTTTGGGGAACATCCTAATTTGTGATGTGATCCTGTGGAGGAGACGTGCTGGCTGCCATCGTGCTTGTCACCCCTGGGGCCTGACCCCTTGGTTGTACCAGGCAGTCTCTGGCTCCTCGCCTCTAGTCAAAGACATTAAAGTCTTATCTCAGCTGACTGTTGTGACACTGACCAGAAGGTCTGGTGTGTTAGAAGGGAGTCACCTTAAAGTAAGCAAATCCTGTCTGCTGGAACCCCACCATGCTATCCACAGGACGGGATAACACTAAACCTTAAGTTCCTTAAAATCAGCATCTAAGTGTTAGTTCTGGGCCAAGTCCTTTGCTCAGTAAAGGATCTCTCAATTGAGTTATTTATCCAGAAACCCAAAGGCCAGTCTTACAAAGAAATGACAGTCCAGCAGAAGAGACCAGACCAATCCACAAAAATCAATTAATCAAAGAGATGGCCTCCATGCACCAACATTATGCACTGATTAAGTACAAAACAACAAAGAGTAAGGCAAGAATTGTTTCATTCCCTTGATAATAGCATGTTCTCTGATATTGCAAAACACAAATAGGGGAAGTGAGGGGTGGGAGGCATCCCCTGTGATTTGGAAGACTTTTCAGAAGAAGCAAATCAGAGTGGGGCCTAGGTTTTCAACACAGTGTTGTTTAATGATGACTTCATTTTCAGCTTTTTAATGAAATGGAACTCCAGTGTGCTGAGATGAAACAGAACTTTGAAAACAAGAACAGGTATGCTTTCTAGCATGATCCCTGTGTGCTGAAGGCCTTAAGGCTTCTGCACCATCTACAGAATTTCAATTCTCTGGGACTTGAGATGGTGCAAAGTGGAATCAGAGATTGGGGATCAGTGAGATGAGTAAAGCATGAGTCACTGGACAGCAGGATGGCCTAATTTGAGAGCACTAAAATGAAGCACAGAAAAGCTATTCCTGCTCTTGTATTTTGTCATCCATTTTTTTTGCTTTGATTATAATTTTTTTTGTTTGTTTGTTGTTGACAGGAGCCATTTTTGTTCTCTGAGATTTCAGAGAACCTTTGTGAACCATTTGTTCTCAGCACATTCTTCTCCTTTTCCTCTTCCTTCTTTTTCTCCTTTTCTTATCTCTTCCTGGCTGCTAGGTTGAAACCTGGGGAAACTAGGAAGAAGGGAGAGAAGGAGAAATTGATTGACAAATCAAGGGGAAATGAAAAGGAGGTGTGTTGTCTGTGGGAGTGAGGAGAATCTCAAAGTTCCCTTCTAGGCTACCTGCTGAGTCCCAAAGCAGCCTCAACAATCCTGGTGGAGAGAGCACTCCTAGTTGAGTCACACATAGCCTTTTGATTGTTAGCTACTTTTTAAGAGATGTTTTAGGTTTTTCACAAAATTGAGGTTAAAGTCCAAAATTCCCATGTACTGAGATGTCTGAATAGTATATTACAATTTTGTTGTATATGCTTTTATTTTTACATTTTTAATTTATTTATTTATTTATACTTTTACTCTATATATTTCCTCTCACTTATTTGTTTCTTTGGAGTATCTTTCTGTCTTTTCTCTTGCTAACAGCTAACTTCATTTGATTCCTTCTTCACTCTTCCTATAATCTAATACTTCTACATTCTCACTTCCTACCTCATATACATCACATCCTATACCCCCTTCTCCCGGTTCTCTCTTTGTCCACCATTAGAAACTTTTGTATTTATTGTAGCTGATAATAGCACACATCATTTCTGTTTATTAGAACAAAACTATAATCATTTAAATTGAAGCCATTTTATTTATGGCTGCAAATTGTTTGCATTGATCTCTCCCTGAAAGGTGAGGTATTGGAAACCTGCAGGGACACTATAAGTCTATAGGGTAGAAACTGTAATACTTTGGATCCACATTGCTAGAGTGGAAGACACACGAACAACATGAAAATGCAAGGGAAGAAAGTGCCCCAAACAAACCAAGATACTACAAAAATAGAATGCATTGACAGCAGTAAAATAAATATCAGAGAATGAGTTCAGAATGTACATAGTTAAAATGATTTGCAAAGTAAAGAATTATATAAGCAAGCAAATACAAGAAACAAAAGATCACTTCTGTAAAAAGATAAGAGAGCAAATATGGATAGCAAAAGGTTACTTCAAGAAAGAGATTCTGAAAAAAAAAACAAACAGAAAATCTTGAAATGAATTAAACAATAAACCAAATTAAAAATTCAATAGAAAGCATCACCAACAGACTAGATCACTTGGAACACAGAACCTCACTCAATGAAGACAAAATATATAATCCTAAAAATAAAGTTGACCACATAATGAAGATGGTAAGAAACCATGAGCAGAACCTCCAAGAATATTGAGATAACATGAAAAGACCAAATTTCAGATTTTCTGGGATAGAGGAAGGTACAGAGACATAAGCCAAAGGAATGTACAATTTTTTCAGTGAAATAATATCAGAACATTTCCCAACCCTGAAGAATGAATTGGAAAATCAAATATAAGAGTCTTACAGGATACCAAATGTACAAAATTATAACAGATCTACACCAAGACACAGTATAATGAAAATGCCTTCCATACAACATGAAGATAGAATTTTAAAGGTCTCAAGAGAAAAGTTTCAGATTACATATAGGGGGAAAAAACCCATTTGGATCTCAGCAGATTTCTCAACCCAGATTCCCAGACACTTCACAGAAAATATACAATCGATCAACAAATATATGGAAAAATTTTCATCATCTCTAGTAATTAGAGAAATGCAAATCAAAACTACTCTAAGATTTCATCTCACTCTAGTCAGAAAGCCAGTTATCAAGAATACAAGCAATAATAAGTGTTAGAGAGGATCTGGGGAAAAGGTACACTCATAAATTGCTATTGGACTGCAAATTGGTGCAATAACTCTGGAAAGCAGTACAGAGATTCTTTAGAAAACTTGGAATGGAACCACCCAGCTATCCCACTCCTCGGTTTACACCCAAAGGACTTAAAATCAGCACACTATAGTATCATGGTCACATCAATGTTTATAATAGCTCAATTCACAATAGCTAAGCTATGGAACCAACCTATGTGTCCTTCAATAGATGACTGATAAATCAAACGTGGTATATATATTCAATAGAATATTACTCAGCTTTGAAGAAGGATGAAATTACAGCATTTGCAGGTAAATGGATGGAGCTGGAGAACATCATGCTAAGTAAAATAAGACAATCCCCCCAAAACAAGGCCAAATGTTTTCTGTGATATGTGGATGCTGATCCATAATGGTGTGGGGGGAGAGCAATGGAAGAATGGAGGGACTCTAGATTGGGTAGAAGGAAGTGAGGGAAGGGGAGGGAGTATGGGGGTGAGAAAGATGGTGGATTGAGACTGATATTATTACCCTATGTACATGTATGATTGCACGAATGGTGTGACTCTGCATTATAACCAAAGAAATGAAAAGCTGTGCTCTTTTAGTGTACAAAAAGTTGAAATGCATTCTGCTGTCATATATAACTAATTGGACAAAAACAAAACAAAACAAAAAAAACCGAAAAACCACAATGAGATACCACTCACCTATCAAAAGCTATTATCAAAAAGAAAATAGATAACAAGTGCAAGAATGTGGAGAAAGGAAAGCCTTTCACAGCGCTAGTGGGAGTCATGTAAATGGGGACAGGCATTATGGAAAATAATATGGAGATTCCTCAAAAAATTGAAACTAGAATTACCATATGATCCAGCAATCCCACTACTGGATATTTACCCCCAAAGATTTGAAATCAGTTCCCTTAGGGTTGTGTGCATCCCCATGCTTATTGCACCACTATACATAATAGCCAAGATATGAAATCAACCTAAGTGACTTTCATTTAACATGTGTCTGAGACACTGCCAAAACCTGCCTCTTGAGAGGGCAGCTGGGAAGACCTTGGGGTCTGAAATTATCCTAATGTAGCTAACGTAGCTCAGTTTCCCAAGTGAGCTGTAAGTAGACTGCTGACTATTTGGGTCGAGTCTGCAGCTGCTACCAGCTCCATTCAAACAGTGCCTGCAGAAAACAGGAAACGGCTCACCTCTCTCTGAATAGAAGCAAGAGACTGCTCCAGGAAGTGAGGGCTTCCTCCAGTGTGGGCGAGGGGTGGGGGTCAGGCCAGGGTGGGGCTCAGCCCTGTTCACTGGTGATTGTGGTTTTCTGTATCCCACAGGGAGCTCAGAAAGGCTCACAGAACAGAGCTCAGTGAGTTAGAGAACAAGTACAAAGAAGCGTTGAAGGCAGAGAAGGCAGCTTCCCGGGGAAAACTAGGTACCCTCAGGGCCTGGGTGAAGGGACGAGGGGCTGATAGTGTGGGTGTGGGGCCAGGGCTCCCATGGCCATGGATGGGTGGTAGCCAGGTACCAGACGTTTCTTCCTGAAGCTAAGGGGGAAAGAGGGGGGGACTGAAAAAAGGAAAGATTATGTCTACCAAGGTCCTTCCTTTTCCTGGAAGGTCTGAGGATGTCCCTTCATCTTGAGTCTCAGTTCCTCATCTGGGAATTGAGAACAAAATATCTACCCTTGTGAGTATGAAGAGAATCTGAAAACACTTTAAAAAGCACATTCCTGAGTTCTACAAATATGACACTATTACAATTTGGCAAGTTTCCTGACCTGTAACATGACAGGGTTTTATTCAGTTCTCCCTGACACACTGCCACTGTATAGCCTTATAAAGCAGAGGGTTGTACTGGCCATTTGACCTTACTATTTACACTGCCCTCCTGAAGGGTGAAATGTGTAGCCTCCTGAATTCTGGGTTCGCAGACTCATCTCCACAGAGGGAAGAAGTAATGCTATAGGGCCTTCTTCCTTTATTTTGCCCCAATCTTTTAAAAGATCATATCTTATTGACACTTTTCTGATTTTCCAGTTTTCTCAAGAGAGCATGTATTGTTTTCGTAGTTATGGTAAACCAAGAAATGTCACCTAAAAGAGCAGCAGATACATGCCACAAGCTTTTGTTCCTCTTTTCCCCACAGATGTAGCTCAGCCCCTGGGATGTCTTTAAGACTTTGTTAACAAGAAGTTTATTTGTCAACAAATAATTTGTCCCCGGAAACCCCAGTTCCACAGGTGCAGGGTGGAGTCCAAGCAATTGAGTTTTGAAGGTTCAAGGGGAATTTCTGGGGCACTTACAGGCCTCACAGCTGGGAGGAGGAGTTGAGGGTGGGGAGCTGTGCTCCAGAGCTCACATTTGAGTTTGAAATGTGCCTTTCAGAGGAGTGATGATGACCCTGTTGTTTTCCTTTGGTCCAGAGGAGATGGAAAAGGAGTATAAGTATTTGAAGAATATGTTTCATATGTATCAGGTGAGACAGAGCTCCTTGTTGGCTTCCGAGAGTGAGAGAAGCAAGTCTTATGCCTGGCTGACAACATTGAATCCAGAGCTCTTGCCCGAAAAAACCATGTCCTGAGACTCCAGCATCCATAGACCTAAGTGGCACTTACTGTACCCAGGAAGAAGGGTGGACCCAATGGCTTCCACGTATGACAAGTCATCCCAGACTGTAAAGAGGCCTATTGACAAATATGTTTGTGGTTATACCACAAATTATTAATTCTGGTATTATTAATTCTGGTATTCACTATTATTGTTCACTAAAAAAAAAAAAAGCAATGGGAATAACCAACAACAGTAACAATCAAAAGAAAGAAGTGTTACCATCCAAAGACAACCTCTGCAAAAATCTGTATTCTTTTAATGTATTAAATCTGTGTATAGTTTTGTATCCTCTTTTTACCAGGCAGAAACTTTTTTCTCCTTTTTAATGACTAGATATTATCCTAGTGAAAACATGTATTTCACTATTCCCCAAAGGTTGGATGTTTGAGTTGCTTCCAATTGCTTGATGAACAAAAAAATAAATAAATAAATAAAAATTTATGTATATAATCACTTTAAACATCTTTGATTCTGGCAGTGCTGAGTCAAAAGGATTGAATTTTTTTTTTTTTTTTTAGTACCAGAGATTAAGCTCAGGGGCACTCAATCTCTGAGCCACTTTGCAGCCCTATTTTGTATTTTATTTAGAGACAGTGTCTCACTGAGTTGCTTAGCACCTTGCTGTTGTTGAAGCTGGCTTTGAACTCATGATCCCTCCTGCCTCAGCCTCCTGAGCCATTGGGATTACAGGCGTATGCCACCGTGCTCAGCAGGGATGAATATTTTTAAGGCCTTTAGTAGATTTGGCCAAATTGTAATCCTAAAAATCTCTGTCACACTGCACTGTACAAACTGAGCATGGAATACGTAGCCATCTCAGAGCATAACCCATCCACATAATCAGCTAATCTGATGAAGGCCCAGAGTTAGAGTATGATGCCTTGTGAGGAGGATGAGTGGACAGGGGATGGGAAGTGGACAGGGGAAAGGCAGACTCAAGCCCTCTTCCTATTTAACTGTTAAATATAGGAACAAACTAGTCCTGTTGCCTTGGGACTGAGAGTTTCCTGGGATTCCAGACTTTATTGCATATACCTGGGCAGTCCCAGGCAAACCAAGACAGGTGGTCACACCCATCAAAGGTGAAACACCAGCACTACTTCTGAAGTTCTATGTGCTACTGAGAGTTTCAGTTTTGAGCTTATATCCAAAACCTGACCAGATTTATGACCAGATGAACTGTCCCACGTTCCTAAATTTACTCTGTGTTTATTTCAGTCTGGGCCTCTCCAGGCCACTTGAACTCCATGGCAACCACGTTGCCCACCAGCATGAAAATGAGGAGAGAGAACCCATCAGCACGGTCCCAATGACTCCACAGGGAACTGATGCCCCAATTAGTGTGGCTCCTGATGCTTTCCCTTCTGGGAACTTACTAGCATCATTGAGATCCTGGGCCGCCTTCTTTTGGGTTTCTAGGATTCCCTGCAAAACAAACGGGGACTTCTGCCAGACATCATGCTGTGTTCTAAGTCTTCAAATTAACTCCAGGCATTTCTCTTCTTTCTTGTGTGCCACTGAAGAGCGACTCATGGTTCAGCAAGAGCTGACATGGGATTCTCCCACCTGGAGAGCCTAGCTGTGTTCAGTGGAAGCCCAGTCCCAGCAGGGCAAAGGCCGCTCAGGCGTGCATGGTTCTCCCCTGACCTTTTGGGTTCCACAATTCTCTGCTGGATGGGGATGGAATTTACTTCCCATAGGTCATCCAAGGAGGGCCCTGTCAGTGAGGGAAGTTGCCCAGGGCAAGGGCCTGTGCGTAAGGGGGCCTCTCTAGTGTGCATGGATTTCTCTAGGGCTTAGGGCTCTTTTCCTCATGGTGTCTTTGGGACTCCACAGGACAGCATTTATGATGAAATAGAAGAAAAATGGTCAAAGCGGAAAGCAGAATGGGAGAAGGATGAGAAGTTGGAGAGGGAAAAGATCCTGCTGCAACAGAGTGAGTACTACAGAGATGTTGGGCTTGGGGATGACAAGCTCAGCAGAAAACTGCCTTAGGCTTGGCCTTGACTTGAGGGACCTTGGGTTTACCAAGGGTGACGGCCCCACACAAGACTCCTGAATGGAAGGTGCTGTAGTCATCAAGAAAACAAAATGGCCGGGCATAGTGGCACACACTGTGATCCCAGCAATCCAGGAGGCTGAGGAAGGAGGATGGCAAGTCCAAGTTTGAAGCCAGCCTGAACAATTTAGTGAGACCCTGTCTCAAAATAAAGAGTTGAGTTTGCAGCTCAGTGATAGAGTACTTGCCTAGCATGTGTGAGGCTCTGTGTTTAATCCCCAGTACCACAAAACAAACCACAGGCAAAAAAAATCTCCCATGTGATGAGAAGGGCAGGGTCCTTTTCAAGTTTACACACCTGAACTAAGGGGCCTGAGCTTGTATCTTTCAAACTCACTGGTTCCAAGTTTGCCTATCATGGACTTGAACAAGTGTTGTGACCTCTAATAGGAATGTAGACTTAATATCTAGTTACAGGCGACCCCAAAGCTCCAGGAGTTCTTCAATTAGAATTTGAAATATTCATTTTGGGGAGAGAGCAGGGATGAACCACACAATCCATTATAGCAAGAGCCTCCTTGTCCCCATGTCCCCCCAAAGGGAGCCATGTTTGATAAAGCTTTTGAATACATTCAACGCTTAACCTAGAGTTTAGATCTGTAGCACTTCCCACAACACTGAGCTTCTTCATTCATGGAAGAATGTACAGAGCGACTGGTGGAGAGGAATAGTCCAAGGAGGAGTGGGCCCTCTACAAACCTATTCCTCTTATCTTACATTTATTCAGTTTAAACCAAATTACTCATTCAAATGCAAAGACTCCCTGGGACGTTCACGTTCTGGTGGGGACTCTGGCTGGGGTTGGGATGTGGAGCTGCTCCTGTGTGTTGGTCACCTCCCAGACTTCTACAGTCTTACACAACACACATCTAGGTTTTGAAAAACTAGAATTTATGCATCCCATTCCAGGGTTTCCCTGTCAGTCCAGAGAATTCCTCCGCCCCCAGAATTGCCACACAGAGGGAATTTGTGTTTGTCCCTTCCCTTCTTTCCTCCTTTGTAGTATTAGGGTTCTGGTGGCAGATTTTTTGCCCAGAAAAAAAAAAAACAAGATAAGCCAACCTCAGGGCTTTAGGACAAAATGAATGATATTGCTGGAGAAAATCAGGTAAGCCAAGAGCTTTAAGACAAGAATATTTAGGAATAATAAGTAACACATCCAAAATAAATAATGCACACAAGAACCACAGGTGGTGACAGTAAATCTCATATGGCTAATGTGATCAAGGACAACCATCATGATCACCTCATCCTCAGGCATTTCCAGGTCAGAGTCCAAACACCAGGCTGAAAGGACTGGGGTTTGACTTGGTCTGAAATTGCTTGTATCTTCAAATATTCTGGGTTTCTCTCTATACTTGTTTTTCCATATTTACACATAGATGTGCTTTTTTCACACCTCTGCAGAACACAAGATGACAAAAAAGTTCGAGTTAGAGTCAGAAGAAGAAAAAAAGAAAATAACTGAATCCTACAGTGCTTCTGTTGAGAACCTCATTAGCGAGAAGGAGGTAGGTCAGGGAGCACTCGGTGGTTGCATGTGTGTGGTCCAGGCACAGTAGCTCCTCCATAGTCAGGAATCTTTTTGTGTGACTGATGGGCAATCCTGTCCTTACCCAGCTTTCCTGGAAATAAAATCAGGTAGGTTGATAGGTTTGCTCTCCTTTAGCTAGTCTTACTACTTGTTTGTTGAAATGAAAATCTTAAGTGATAGGAAATAACTGAATGCTAAATATACAGAACCTGAAATCCCCAATTTTACCAAAATGCCATCTCTGAATGTCTTTTTCATTCCTGACTATAGCAGAAGAGAAAAGGCATTGCTGCAAACCAAACACATTTGGTCACACAAGACTCTTAGTAAATAAAGAAGGGAGGTGAGGGTTGACTACTCCTGCTAGCCAAACCTCACTACTGCTAAAACCTTACTTCTGAGACCAGGTAATAATGAAAGCAGGTCTCAGGCCAAGTTTTGCCATACTGATGAACATTTACTTAGCAACTATGCATTAGCAAGCAGCCCCGACATTTCATGCCACCAGGTCTCTGAACTTTTAGATGCACAGAAGTTTTCCCAGTGACAGGCATGACGGCATCCCAGAGGCAGAACTTGGCACCCGTTATCATCTGCACCAGGCAACCAGAGCATGTCCTTAGCAGGACTCAGGGCCACCTGGGATCAAGTCCTAGGCACCATGCTTAAGTGGACAGCTACAGACTTTGTTACATTCTTGTACCACTTTTAGGTAAAATGTTTTCCCAATATTTTGGATATTCTACATATTCCACTTTTGTGTCCATGTCTAACCATTATGCTAATCCAAAATCCACTAAGTTCACCAATAAAAGTCAATTTCTGATATTCACTATTATTAATGGACAAAACAACAATGAGATGGGGTCAGGTTCTGCAAGTGTGTATAGGGCTCCTGAGGTCTGGAGGGCAAAATCATCGGAATAAGAAGTAGCCATTCCTTTTGTGGAGGGAGATTTGATCTGTATACATCCTTTCTTTCTTCTTCCTGTTATTTCTCTAGTGATGCTGGCTGTAAATAGATATCTCTCTCTCCTTCTCTCTCTCATTGAGCTATCATTTATACTTAGCAAAACACACAGACTTAAGTGTGAAATTTGATAAGTTTTGACGTTGTCTATTACAATGCCACAAAGATATCCTATTTTTTTAGAAACTTCATGATTTTAACTTTTATGATTTTATGATCCATTTTGAACAATTTGTGTATACAGAGTGAGGTAGATACCATGGGTCACTTTTTTACATATGAATATTTAGTTGTTTCAGCACCAATTTTTTCTTTTTAAACCAAAAACAAAACAACATTCCTTTTCCCATTGAGTTGTATTGGGGTCATTGGGGGTGGGGAGTCAGACTCCATTCTGTTTCTTATGACTAATTGTCTTCGCTTAGGCCCACAAACATAAAGTAGTCTTACCTATTAGAGCTTAATACCAAATAGTTAAGATCATCTAACTTTAGTAATGTTTTCCAAGATTATTTTCCCCCCATTCTTTGCATTTGCATATACATTTTAGAACTAGCTTGTCAATTGAGAATTAACTTCTCAAGAAAGCCTGTGGGCATTTTGACTAGGAATACATTGAAAATAAAGATCAATCCATGCAGAAATAAATCCTTAACAATATTGAATCTGTACACTAATTTAAAAGCTTTTGATGAAAATCTAATTTATTTTATATTTATCAATGTGATAGTGTTTAATATAAGATTTTCATTAGTTAACTTCAAAATGCCATATCATTTGTTGACAATGTGTGTATCATTATATTGATATATAAGCTTTAGTAAATATTATATTCCTGAATCCTCTACTGGCTTTCTTAATTCTCCAAAAGAATATCCAGAGCCAATAATATTGTTTTTAGGAGCTCTTGAAACAACATGAAAGCGACACCCTGCAATTACAGGAGCTGAGTAAGACCAAAGCGGTAAGCTCTTCTGTTTCTTCCTATGGAACTGATGTCTGGCAAATATATCAGTGAAAGATACACTCTCCGTAAAATGGAACCTATGGTAATTTTTCCAAAACCCATAAAAGATGCAAGACCTAAAGCTAAGTTTGCTAGATGAAATAAGTTAAAAAGTGATCTGGAATTGTCCGTAAAACAAAAATACCTGGTACCCTTTTTAAAGCCAGATTTGAGCACATACATCAACAGCATACCATATGGTCATCAATGTTGAATGAATTCTATTTCTAGCAAAGCTTAAGGAAGGACTTTGATTCATGAATGGCCATGTTCTTTCCTTTGAGCTCAGAAGAGTACAGAACTTCCTTTGCCTACGGGTCTCTGGTTCTAAGCTCTGGGTGTACCTCAGATGTGATAACTGTCTTTAAAAAAACAACAACAACAACAACAAAAACTTTTTAGCCACAGATAGACACAGTACTCTTATTTTGTTTATTTATATGTGGTGCTGAGGATCGGACCCAGGGCCCCTCGTGTGGGAGGCAAGTGCTCTACCACTGAGCCACAAGCCCAGTCCCAAGTGATAACTTTCTTGTGGGTCACTTTGTGGAGACATCTGAATAGAAGCTGTCCAGACCCACAAAAAAACCTGTGGTTCTTTCTTCTTTGAGAATTTAACTTGGATCTAGAATGGATATGTTTGAGATACGCTTCATTTATGCCATTTCTGTTGCTATTAATTGATTTTTCTCCTCATTCCTGGTCATATTTTCTTGTTTGCTTGCCTGGTAGTTTTTTATGGTGCCAGCCACTGTGAAAGTTGCCTCGTTGGGCACTAAATATTTTTATATTCCTTTAAATCTTCTTGAACTATGTTCTGATACAGTTAAGCTACTTGGAAGCAGTTTCACTCTTTCACATGCAATGCATCAGCCTTAGCATTGATTTTATGCTTTGCTGATCTGAACTAAAGCAGTCCAGTGCAGAGCTGGATTCCCGGTTCCTGAGGTAACACCTTTCCAAATGCTCTCCCAGCGCCCTTTGCATTAGACGGCTTCTTCTGCTCTGGATGGTGCGATTGTGAACTGCTCCCAGGACTGTGTTGGCCCTGGGATTATCCCTCTTGCTCTTTTCTTTCCCCAGCTTCATCTCCTTCTATTTCTTGCCTCCATCATTCCACCCCAGCAGCACTGAATTCCTTGCCATTTCTTAAAAGGCCAGGATGCTCCTACCTTAGGTCTTTGTTCTTGGTGATCTCTCTTCCTGAAAAGCTCTTTCTCAGAAATCCACATGGCTAACGTTCTTTCCTTCTTCTGGTCTTTACTCAAATACCACCTTTTCAGGAGCCACCCTATTTAAAGGCCTAGTTCCCTGCCCAATACTTCTTGTGACAAATACCAGGAATGCCTCTCCTGGCCTGAGGTGAGGGGTCACTTCCTCCCTGAGCCACTCACCACACTGGCTTTCACAAGTGTCTACTTCTCCCCCACTGGTCACTTCTCTGTCCTCTTTGTAGGTCCTCCTCCTCCACCTACATTCTAAGCCCTGGAAAGTTTCAGGGCTTGACCCTGGGTTCTGTTTCTTTTCTTTCTCTCCCCTTTCTCCTTTGGGAGTTAATTATTCACACAAATGTAAATGCCGTCTCTGTGCTGCCGACCAGATTGACTCCTCCAGCCCCGGTCCCTCCTCTGAGACCCAGGTTGCATATCCAACTACCCATTTGGTGTTTCCACATAGGTGACAATGGACATCTCAAACCTAATGTGTCCCATTCCACACTCTTGATTTTCCTCCCAGGATTTGAGCTCTCAAATTGTAAATCTCCCAGCTGTTCAAACTGGAGTCAAAGTCGTCCTTGATTTCTTCCACTCTCCCTCATCCATACATCGGCATCAACCACTCCTCCATAGAGCACTCTATAAATCCACTTCTCTCCAGCGCTGCCCGTCTCCCCCAGTCCATTATTTCTCACCTGAACTACTGTAATACTCTTCTCCTTTCTGACCTTGTTTTCTACCCTGTCCCTTCCAACCCATGTTCCAAAGAGCAGTGAGATCGATGCAAACAGTGAGAACCAAATAAACACTCCTCTGCCTAAAACTTTTTGACCCCCACCCCCCATTATTCTCAAGTTACCATGAATCCCAGGTGTGGCCTGGCTCCTCTGCGTCTCCTCACTGTGGCCCACTCTCCTACTTGTGGTCTCTATTCCAACCCCACTAGTGTTCCTTAAGGATTCCTACGCTTTTTGCCTCCTAAGGACTTTTGCACAGGTTCCTAATTGTTCTTCAGTAGTAGTTTGTTCATTTAACTGATAGTCTATTTCTTGGAGCAGTTTTAGGTTTATAGAAAAATTAGGGCAAAAATTACAGGTTCCCCTAAGCTACCCCTCAGAGTTCCACCTCTTATCAACATCTTGCACTAGGATGATATATTAGTTTCAATCTACCAGTTGATGCTAATGCATTATTATTAATTGAAGGTCCATAGTTTACATTCTTCATTCCTTGTGCCATACAGTCTATGCCTAATATGTCATGTCATGTATCTATAATCACTGTGTCATACAGAATAGTTTCACTGCCCTAAAAATACCCTCTGCCCCACCTACTCATTTCTCCTTTCCCCTTCCAACCTCTAGAAACCACTAATCTTTTTACAGTCCCTAGAGTCTCACCTTTCCCAGAATGTCCTATAGTGGGAATCAGTAGTAGGTTATTAACAAAAGACTCTTCAGTGAATGAATGGCGGATTGCCATGGTAACCATCTGTTTGATCTCTGGTGAGAACTGGCTCTGTGGCAGTGATGGTTGGGCTGAAGGGGAGGGTATGTAGCCCGGAGAGACAGCAAATGGCCAGAATTTACTGGCCAGGGGTGAGTAGCTAAGGTTGTTGCTCTGCGTTGTAGTCCAGGTACTGTGGAGAAGAGAATAAATAGGTAACATGGGCTTGGTGTCCTGAAACAATTTCTTCTTGTGCAGATCATGGAGGAAGAGTTGCACGCACAAGCTATTATTCTAGAGTCGCTTAACGCGCACCTCTACCAAACACAGATGGAACTCCAGAAAGAGGTAAGTCCTGGCTGGAGAGAGGACAGGGGCTGGGAGAGGAACCCAGGTGTCTCTGCCATTTGGCTATATAGCTTCATGCTGGGTGGCTCTGGGGAAGACTGCTTTTAAATTTTGTCTTTCCAGAAAGCCACAGTGGGAAATCTTGAGAAGATGTTCCAGATCAAGCTTGCTGAAGCTAATGAAAAGCATAAGCACACCATAGAGAGCCTGACAGAGGAAAACCTTCTTCTAAGGTGTGAATGCTGTCGGCTGAGCTCTCTTTAGGAGTGGGAGGGCATGTGAGTGAGGAATAGGTTCAGAAGATAAGCCACGTACTGCTTACTGATGTTAAGACAAGAGGGAGGTTATGTCACTGAGCTTGGACACAGTTATCTGCAGAGGCCAGAGTTCTTTTGAGATATGTCTGGACTTCTCTCTCTTGCCTGTCTGTTATGCAAAATGACACAGGAAGTGTATCAATTTCTGAGTTTTTTTTTCTGTTCTGTGACTGAGGGTTGTTTTTCAAGTCCCTCTTCTCTGAAACATTCGGTGGTTTTTATGTTAGACACAGCTGCTTCTGGTTGCTCTGGAAATCAACTTCAGAACACAGAAATCATACTGTTACCTGAAGAGACATCTTAAATTGCTCAAACAAACTTCACTGAAGTTACCTGTTGCATTGATTCCATAGAAAATGTCTCATTTGGCAATTTGGTCACCCAAATATCACATTTCACTAAATTCAAAACCACTGCAAGTGATGAGAGACTGCTCCCCCAGGGAGGACTAAAGCCACATTTCTGCCCCTACCCACACACCCATATCCTGTACCCCCTTCTATCCTTTGAGTCTGTCATGATATATCCTTCCTTTTACAGGCAAAAGATTGCCAAGAATGGAGAAGAAGTTTATGAAAGACAATCTGGAACCTTGCCCTCTTTAGCCAGTTATGAGTATAATTATGATTATGACATTGAATATGGCAACAAAAAACAAGAATCATAAACAAAAAGTTGTTCTCCTTGTCCAAAGATGGTAGGAACACCATCCCTAAAGCCTATGGAACTCCTGGGGGTGGGGTGGGCGGAGAGGGTTTCTTGAGAAAATGCATATGATTAGTTGAGTTCTTGGGTTGTTCTGACTATGTTTTTGTCTTTTCACAATTTGCTTTTTTTCTGAATGGGAATGTTTAAATTCTCAATAGCAGAGCTTCTCATCGACTCTTCATTAAAAATAGATGTTCTCTATCCTGAAGCTGATCTCTCTCTGGGCCTTGTACTCTTTTCTCTTGTGCATTTTACACATTTTATTAGAAAGAGACTGATTTGAAGGCACCCTTCCTATCAAATGTTGACTGTATGTTGGGCTACATCTTTTGTCCCCCTCTGTAGCTAGCAAGACAGATAACTCTTTGACTTGACTTCAATACTTTATTCTGTTATATACATATGCCTGCATTCTCCGACCTTCCAACCATGTTCCCGAACCTATCACCTAGGAAGAGTATCTGAAGATTCTTGCTGCCTTCTCTAAACCATCACCAGAATTCAAATGCCCCCCAGGGTAGGCAATATAAATCAACGAAAATGTCTGGATGTAAGGTAAAATGGTCACACTGGCAGGGTGATAAATGGCCATTGACAGCAGCCCCTTGGAGAGGTGCCTGGGTGGGGATGGAGAGAGGACTGGGGAAAGCAGAGCCACACCTGGCTGGAGAGAGGTGCTTTTCAGACCTCTACGATTGCTACCACACAGTTACCTGGGGTCAATGTTATCAGACATTCTCAATTTTCAAAAAAAGATATTATGGGTTTTATGTGATATCTCCTGTTTTTTAAATGTTGACAGTAAACGTTAAAAACACAGCCTGTGGGAGCCAATATTGGGAGACTCAAGTAAAACAAGTCTATGACCAGAATGTTTTCCATTTGTGACACACCATTGGCAAAAACAAACAACAAACAAACAAACAAAAAACACTAAAAAAATAATCTCTAAGGAGCAGTAAGATAAAATTACATTTTATTTTATTAAAAATGTTTTTTTAAAAATACTCTTAAAAGCATGAAATGAGCTGAAAGAAAAAAATGGATACAAATATATGAAATATTAAAATGCTTTATTAGCAAGAACACTGAATACTACAAGCATATGAAAAGGTATGTGAAAGAGCAACAAAATGAAAAAAAAAGGCTGAGGATGTAACTCAATAAGAGAGCCTTTGCTTGGCTCCAATCACCAGCATTGAAGGGAAAAGAAAGAAGAAATATCAGAAAGGAATTTAGGGACATCTAATATTTAGAAATTTAATTTTCCAAATTTAAATATTTTGAAAGTAGTGTATTAGATGGCTTGAAAAGAGAGGAATTAAGTTTTTATTTACTTTTAAGTATACTTTTTCATCTTGTTAAAAATACAGTTAAAATTATACCATAACTGTAAATGTCTAATAGTGGCTGATATTGCATAGCCAGGACCTGAATTCATATAAGAATTAAAATGTTCTTGATTCAAATGCATGAAGTGAATTGATTATAGTAATGCTTTGTATGGACAAAATGGTTTTGATGTAATAATTGAAGATAATGTTGTATATTTAAAAACACAATTTTTTATGAAAAAAAGTACTTAGTTCCTCATTCCCTCCCTGCCTTAAAAACAAAAGTGCAGTCAATATTTTATAATTAACTAACACTAATTAGAACAAATAAAAAAATAATAAATAAAGCATAGTGTTACACAATGATGTAACATCAATCAAGAGGAAAGAAGAGTTTTTTCCTTAATGTAAAAGTGGGCTGTGGCATCTGTTTCCCCATGTTCTTCTTATCATCCTTATTGCTCACTTCATAGTTCACTTCAGTCAGGATGGTGAGAATATCATCGCCTCTGAAAAACAGAGCATAACATATGATGATTCACGGGGCAGGGAGGGGAGACAGGACTGACAACCCATCTCATCTGCTGTGCTGAGGGAGAGACCTATAGCTCCCTCTCTCAAATATCAGGCTTTGGAAACCATAATCTGCTAAACCAAGACCTACCACAGCTTTCCAGGTAGATGAGTTGTCTCAAGCTTGATAACTTCACCTTCAGCTTATTTGGAATCTCTACTAACCATCAGAAACCTCAGGGCCAGTATTGGATTTGATTTCTTTCCCTTCCAGTCTGTGTATCTCTCTCACTACTCCATGGACTGTGTCACTCAACCCCCACAGCATCTCAATGCCTCTGAATGCCTTCTGCTTACATTCAGCATTGCTTCTGCAAATTCATCTACAACACAATCTAACATCTCCTTCAGCCCTCTCTCCCCCTCCATCCCCAGATATCTTAGCAGTTTTCTTGGTCAACCTCTTCATCTATCTCTGTAGCAAACACCAGAACCTTGCAGGACTCCTGGCCTAAATTACAAAATGAAAACCTCACATTGGTGCTGTGGTTTGCTCTTTATATACCATGGGAGATTCTCACTCTTCATACTCTGAAAGCCTAATGAGAAATAGGTCTAGAAGGAATGTGTTAGGATTCCTCACGGTTCATCTGTCAGCTTTGCACACGTGGGTAAGCTATGACATTTGAAACTATAACTAAATGAAGCCTCTGATATAATAAACAAGGGAAGAATATTTTCCCACATCTTGCGGCTTTAAAGCAAGCCAGGTGAGTGGGGAGACACAAGAGGCTCCATCTCTTTGCTACTTATCTCCCACAATGCATCAAGGGTTTGAGGTGAGTTAGCTATTATGGGACTTTTGACAGAGTTGGAGAGTGTTAAACATTGACATGGTTACTGCCTTCTTGGCAAACTTACAAAACTAGCTGAATCAGCTCAATCATGATTTTTTTTTTTCCCCTTAAAGACAGAGAGCTGGACCACATGCCTATTGCCTTTCCAGCTTTGTAATACTGTGGTTGTCCTTTGAGATGCGGAATCAAGGAAACCTCTCAGTAAGTGTATCAGTTTTCCCATCTGTGAAAGAAGGATATTAACACTTGCCATTTCTCTTATTTCACAGCTGACCTGGGAAGTAGGACTTTGTAGTCCACAGGGAGACATTTTAGAAGTAAATGGAAATCACTCCTCTTGATGCTTCTTCAATTAATACTACCTCACCCATAAAGCTTTTTCTAAAAGGCCCTGGCTATGCATATGTAGTAGTAGTGATGGGGAAGGGGACCAGGTAGTATAACACTGAGGAGGGCTGGATAGGCAAACCTTACCGAGGACATCTTTCTCTCAGTCTCTGGCAAAGGGACTGGATATACCAGGTTCCCTCCATGGGATTTCGATAGGAAACACAGTTGCTCACAGTGGCCATCCCCAACAGAAAGTCAGCTTCATCTGGGATATAACTCTTTTGAAATGATAAATCCATCTCTAAGTAGGGGTCCTTCTGCTTTGAGTCGGTTTCAACAAGTACTCCTTTCTGGTAGTTATCCCCTTGACAAGCCTGAATAAAAAAGACTTTAGGTTTCCCAGCAAGGGAAGGGCACTTTGAACCAGTGAAATAAGAGGTCAGCTCAAAGATGGAGACCTTCTGTCCATCAGTGCCATAGATTATGCCCTCGTCTCCATGCGAGAGGATACAGCAGATGAAACAGTCTTTATTGTTGTGGTCTTCACTTTGGTAGAATTTTAGAACTTCACAGATTTCCTTGGCTGTAGAATCTTTGTAACATACTATTTCAAAATGAAGCTCCTTAAAGATCTTGCTCAAAGCCTCTGAAAAGTGAAAGAAGAAAAGTCATATCACACTACAGCAATTCATTGCCACGGCCCAGAGTGAAAAAGAATTGGAGGGATGTGATATTGATAGATAAGAATTTGAGCCAAAAGTTCAAGAAGGAGAACATCTAAATTAGTAGGTGAATTCTATAGACTTTTAATATTTATTGCCACCAGCAGAGAACATTTCCAAACCATAAAGCAAATGAGAAAGGGGTGAGTGCTATTTTCGGCCAGTTGCCTTTTCTGAAACAGTTTATAGGATGAGTAAGCTGTTATTTTGGCTTACTGCCAAATCAATTTAAGAGGTGATTTTATTTCCTATGTAATCATAAAAAAGAGAAAGAATTTTTGAATAAAAACCCATATTCACTTAATGCTGTACACTCAAAATTAGTTACACTTATCAAAATAGGAGATACGAATAAAATAGAACTAAAAGACCTATTACAAAAACAGTTATCCTCTCTCTATTCTTCTCTGTTACCCAGTCATATGCCATGAAAGCAACCACTTTTAGGTTTTAAATTTAATATTAGCTGCCATTTTGTAATGAATTTGAATTCACTACTATTAATTCATTTAAAAATTTTAGACTTTTTTTATTAATACTTATTTTTTAATTGTAGTTGGACACAATACCTTTATTTTATTTATTTATTTATGTGGTGCTGAGAATCAAACCCAGGGTCTCGCACTTGCGAGGCAGGTGCTTTACCATTGAGCCACAACTCTAGCCCCGAATTTTAGATTTTTTTATGTGAATTATTATGGAAGGTAAGCACATAGTACTCTTGTATAATTTTTTTATAATTTTGGGTTGAATTCATAATAATATATATGTTACCAGGACAATGTCAACATCAAGTTCTTAAATTATATTTCCTTTTTTATTATGATTTTTGTCTTTCCCAGAGTTAATAATTGTATTACTTTTTAAATTTGCTTTGTTTCCCATATGGTTAACTTTTTTTTTTTTTTCAAAAACACTAACAGATGAGGTCAGTCTTTCACCATTTTCAGACTGCTTGTCTGATTCATTTTAATTTTTCTGAAGAACATTTCATCTCGAGCACTGCATCTTCTTTCTCTAATCCTAACTGACTGTTCCTTAGGCTTGATAAATTTCTCTTCTCCTGGGAAATCTTTAGGTCTTTTCCATAATAGATTCACTTTTTCCTGAACTTATGACTTCTTCTTTATTGATTTACTAACTGGTTTTGCTAGAGTATATCTACTCCTGCATAAAGAATAAATTTTTTGAGCCCTTAGATGAGCTTTACTTCTACTTTCATATTTTTTGTAGTTTAGCTAGATACAATACGCTTTTTCCACAAGTATTTTTCCTCAGAATTTTGAAGGTATTTCTTCAGTCTTATAGCTTTCAGTGTTCCTATTAAGAAGTTCACTAACAGCCTGGTTCCTGATACTTTATGTATTTGACTTATTTTTTTTCTCTCCAGAAGTTTCTAGGATGAAATATGCTTTGGTGTGAATCTTTCTTAATTCATCAGGCCCCTTTGGT